CGAAGCCTGGCTTTGAAGTGAATACAGGAGTAAGACAAGGCTGCCTAATACTACTAACGCCGATGATATTCCGAATTACCATGGACTGGATTATACGAAACAATGTACGTGAGGAGCGAAATGAGAAGAATACTTTGGGCTGATAAGAAGACTCCCTTGGGTTCCTAGTGGAACATAGGGCTTCAGCTGCACGTCTCCACTTGCTTCTATCTTCTGCTGTACTTTGCACCTGCATCCATGTTAGTCCATACTGTTTCAACTCCTCTTCACACGATCTCCTCCATGTCACCCTAGCATTGACGTCCCACTCGCCGCTTCCATTTCGGGTTCCACTCGAGCTATGGCCTGACGCGCGATGTCACCCAGCGGCCTCCTCAGTCAGCGAGTGTCCAATCCATCTCCACTTTCTCCTGCATATTTGTTGGGCGATTGGTTCTTGTTTTGTTTGTTCCCATAGTTTCTTGTTGGTGATTCTTTCCGGCCATCTGGTCTTCAGTATAGAGCGAAGACAGTTGTTGATAAAGGTCTGCAACAGGCTGTTGGAAATATTCTTTGTGACACACTGGCCAAGTTTCTGATCCGTATAGAAGAAGTGACTTGACGTCGTTTGTATTGAAAATCCGAATTTTGTTGTTGATGCTGAGTTAAGTGACGAAGATTTCCAGATTGGTTTCAGGTTGATGAATGTGTTTCTCGCCTTCCCGATTCTCGATTTGACATCCTTGTCCGTTCCCCCTGTAGTAGTTGAGACAATGCTCCCTAGATAAGTGAATGAAGTAACCTCTTTAATCCCTCCTGTTGATGGTGATTGGCGCTGGATGTTGCTGCTGTTGTTGTTAGTCGGTTATTTTCATAACCTCCGTCTTGTCTATGTTCACCTGGAGTCCTGTCTTTTCTGCTTCTTTGACCATTTTGTCAATTTACGCTTGTAAGTCTTCGATTTTGTGTGACATCAAACATAAATCATCCACGTGCGAAATCCAGGTCTTCTAGGTTCTTTACGTCGGTCCAGGATATCCCTTTCTTCTCATTTCTCACTGTCTGACGCATAATCCAGTTTACCACAATAAGGAATATCATTGTTGATAATAAGCACCCTTGTCTGACTCCTGTGTTTACTCCAAACGCCTCGCTGAGTTTTCCGTTGTGGATCACTTGACATGTGCCGTTGTTGTACATAATGTGATGTTAGGTGATTGGAGGCAATCGGCCACAGGAAGCCTTGGACCTAGGTTTCGTGCTAGTTGGCACTCATCAGCAAGGAACATGAGTTCCTTCGAGGTTGCAGATACGCCTTGCTGACTGTCGAGTGCCAACTAGCACGAAACCTAGGTCAAGCGAGGCTTCCTGTGGCCGATTGCCTCCAATCATCTAATACCAACAATTCACAATGCACCGTGATGGCCATATCTTAAACTTGACTGATAGAATTCAGTCTGCACCAAAGATAGGACTAGACCACACACACTACACTTAGTTACTGACTAGTGTTCAATGCAAAATATTATGTGATGTTATTACTATTGCTTGTTGAACTGTTGGTCTAAGATAGTAAAAGCTCTCCACTTAATGGTCTGTCTTGTTTCTTTCTTCTTTGCCATATGTGTCAGTGATAGCAGATTTTGTGATGTGTATCGTTGCGTTATAGTGATTATAACGGTAGACTCGCAAATCTACTAGTCAGGAAGTTCGTTAGCTCAAGTAAGTTGACCAGCAACAGTTAACGTGTATGTGAACAGGATTGGCTAAAGTCTCACCAAATGTTGATACACTATGTATAATAGTTACAAGATGACCAGCAGTTGTGTTATTCAATGAATACATCGATTCTGCTTCCTTCTAAAAAGAAGTTCTTCTGACATCAGTCATTTGCATCATCATCATCATATCACGCAGACACATTCAAAAAGGTGTTCATCCTCTTCTCCTTTTTTTCGCGTTTTGCGTAACACTAAACCAACTGATATATATATAAATGTGTGTTTTTGATAACTGTTTGTTTTGCAAAATAAAGCCTATTTCTGTCAAGTAGTGTATTCGCATATATAGAAAATTTCCTTGTCAAATAAGCTAAGCACTCTTTTTTCAAACAAAAGAAAAATATAGACATCCCTAATTTATCATTCTTTTCTTTGACATTTGCATATATGTATATATATGTGTGTGCATATTGGCCTACTGAGACACTATCTTTTGATATTTATACTCAATAGAAATGTAATTTATTTAAATATTTTATTACTGATAAGATGGTTAAATTATCTTGTTAATTTGTAAACTTTATCTCAGCAAATGGGAAGCAAGTTGGCTGAAGAAGTATAAAAAAAGGAAAAGCTAACTGTCGGTTTGAGTTGTTCGGGGGGAGTTTGAGATTCACGTAACTACACAGATGGTGCTATATAGTGGAGGTGATCAAAACGCCAGACGGTCGTTTCGCTTGTTTGATGCCGAGCTCATCAGCCCATCATTATCATCACACACTGTGATATTGTGGTGAGAGCTGTCGCATGCAAGCCAAAATTGAAGACAACACAATTTACGTCAATGTTCACATCCCAAATCAGGGTCATGAAAAAAATGATAATAACGAGGCTTTACCTTGAGAAAATCACCAGCCAGTCACAGCGGAGTTCAAGTGTAGAAATATGATTCACACAGATATATGACTTGATTTTTTGAGAAATGGCCACAAAGAGATAACAGTACAGAATAACCTTCAGCAAGAAAACAACCAATCAGAAGAGTTCAACATAGCGAAAATATTCATTCAGACATCTATAAAAAACAAAATAATTGAGCAAAGAATATCCTTTTCGATAATTTCTTCCTCCTCTGGCTCTACAATTATATATATATGTTTATATACATAGAATATTCTAGAATAGTAGTCAATAACAATATAAGTTTTTTAAATAATATCGATTTGTTAAGTAAGATCAATGGAATTACAGTTCATTAAAGATGCTTAAATAATAATAATAATAAAGATATAGTACCAAATAGAATGTCAACTAAAATTAAAGAAATTTCTACAAAACATTGAAACCTAGATGGCCAAGGTAAGGATAATTCCTGAACTAACTTCTTTTGAACACACAAATTAGGCTTCTTAATGTAGATCTCAACAGCCAGTCCCAGCAATATTTAGTAGTCAAACTCTTAAGGCGAAATTGAGATTTGTTGGTATGCGGTGAATGACCCTGAAAGCCTCCTCGTTAACATCAATCTTGTGTTCTGTATCCACAAGACGAGAAGAATAGCGCTACGAATAGATTTTGTTTGTCCTTTACTTAACCAACAACTATGCAGGGTGATGTTCGCAAATTCGACGAGAAACCCGCCTAATTGTACGGCCTATGTAACTGGCTCCACAGTAGGGTTGCTTCTCCGCTAACAATAACGCTAATAATAATGCACATAAAAATCTATAAATACCTCTTGATTTTCTCAATAAACGATCTGTTGCCGTGGCCGTTGTTTTCTGTCGTTACAATGTGAATAGTTTGGTTTCCAAAGGAAACTATGTTGAAACTTCCTCACTCGGGCTGTGTACATTGCAAATTGCTAATTAATTCGCCAATTGTGAATTTGATTTATGGCATGGCCAGATCTACCAAGCACCTAGCCAAAAATTGGGTGGTTTGAACTGAATTAGCTCTCTGAGATGAGTCATACTGGGTACACAGATGATGAGCTAGGCACCAAACAAGAGAAACGACTGTCTGGCTAGCTGTCAACAAGCACTGCTTATTGATATGAGTGAGTGGTATACAACTACTCATCTCAATCAATCAGTAGTATATAGACAGTTTCATGCAAATTTGCTTGCTTTCTTGATTATCATTTATCTCATCAAGTAGATCGTATATCGTGATCAGAATAACTTGGTTTCGAAAGGAAACTGTGCAGAAATTTCACCCGTCGAATTGTGTACATTACCAACCTCTAACCAATTCGCAAAGTGTTAATTGGAAGTATGGTGGGATTGTGAATTTGATACAGTGTAGCGTTTACTTATCATTTCGACATACTCGTCCTAATTGTAATGCATATTTATTCATATATTTACATCACTGTTTCTTTTGCCCTTTACTCTCCCATGCACTAGCTTTAATTATTTTACTCACTTTTTTAAATCACTGTGTCACTCTTGTGCTATGTGATGTACAGACACATTCATAAGTCAAAAGTTGATAATACACAGGCAAATTATCATTCATCCATCGCGTTAGAATTCATGAGCAACTAGATGTAACCTATTGGTGGTTGAATTATAAATTACCCGTCTCGTAACCTAAAGATACCGGCGATTGTATAGCATATCCTTTTTTTGAAGTGTCATCACCTTTCATTATGGATAAAATCTTATTTTGATAAAATCACGCAGTGTTGTTATATACAGTAATATTTACTGATGGCCACGTTTCCAGAACAAGTTATTGCTGCTCATAATCATATCAAGGTACTCACCCACACAACTTTCTTGCTTCGTTAAAAACAGAACATATCTCTAGCTTCTTGACACACATATAAACTCACTAGTAGAAGGAATAAAATTCACATTTGAATCGGAAAATGAACAAGGAGAATTAGCTATGTTAGATTGTAAAATAAAACGAATAGAGGAAGGTAAACTGCACACTAGCGTTTAAAAAAAATTATGATACCATTTTGTTTGAGTTTTATCCGTCCCCCTTGTTTATTATGGCATTTCAATTCCTAATTGTAATTTTATTAATTTGCCTCTTGACCGGAAATTATCCTGGGACTTTCTCACCCATTTACTATAAATACACGAATGTACAGCCCAGTTGATGACTTCGTCAAAAAGAAAATCTTCTCTGCAACCGTCTTTTTGTAGTATTACTTTGGTAAATTGTTGTCAGCGAGTTTCCTCATGAAAATATCTGACTACAAATTTATATTTCTTTTCCAAAATATGCAAAAAAGTTACTTTGCCTTTTACTAAAATTTGATCATAATACTTTAATATTTGATAGATTTCCTGCTTTCTCTTGGTGTGGTGGTCTTCAACGCGTAACTGGTGGATGTGCATCGCTAGGACGTGGTCATCACAGTCTACAAGGAAGCAGTAAAAATTCTAGTCGACAAAAACTACCTGGAAGTGCAGAACAACAACAAACCGCTTTCCGATCTCATGAACTTACCAGTACTATTGGTGCTAGACCGACACCACCACCAAAACCTGGTCCATTTGTTGTAGAAGTAATTCTCACTAGAGGTACACGAAGTGGATTGGGATTTAGTATTACTGGAGGTGTGGGGAATGAAGCATCCAATGGTGATTCGGGTATATTTGTAACAAAGGTATGTTTTAAGTTGTTGAAAGATATATATATATTTTCTTACTTTATCTCATTGTATTATGTTGTTTTGCGAGTAATTAGTAAAAGAGTCTGTTAAGAAAGCGATGAGATTTCCCGAATTAGATTATGAACACAAAAATGAATTATATCCAGTATAAGGTGAAATTTCTCGATAAACTTTGCCATAAGCAAACAGATGAACACAAGGATTAGATAAGACTGTCTACTATCCCTGATGATATTCCTCACTGTGATGGACTAGACCATGCAGAACATCGTACGCTGACAGTGAGAAGACAGGAATACGTTGGACTGATAAGAAGACTCTAGAAGATATGGGCTTCTCAGACGATTTACGTCTAATGTAGAGAAGACCAGTAGTTCAGCGAAGAATCTCTTTTCGGCGGCGAATTCATTTTCACAGCTGTACAATCACAAATATGCATATGGTTATTTCGTATGCGTGTGTGTACATTAAATTTGTCAAACGAAAATACAATCCAAATCATCCACCTGAGCTACAAATCTTCTCTATTAGGTCTAGCCTAAGTTGATTTAACAAAAAAGAAGTGTACGATTGGTTAAATTCCTGCTTTAGCTTAATTCCTCTTGTGAAGTTACGTTTTAGTTATGAAATACAGGCTTGAGGTGTCAACTCTAGCTGTATTAGACAGTAGCTAACAGAATTACTACACCATAGACTATGTGTTATTAGTTTTAATACTAACTGAATCATTGACTGTATTATTATAATTATTCCCTTGAGTTCTGAGTGGAACATGAGGATTCAACGAAACATCTCCACTTTTTCCTGTTCTCTGCGACCCTCTTCAACTGTCTCCACGATTTCCCATGGTCACTTATCTCCTCCTCTCATATTCGCATCCATGTCACCCTCGGATATATACCCAAAACATCGTTTCCCATTCGGTCGCTTCAGTGTGTGTCCGATCTGTCTCCATTTTCTTCTACATATTAGTTGAGCAATAGGTCCTTGATTGATTCGTAATGTGGTATTGCTTGGGAGGTCTGTTATATATATTTATAGGTCAAGGTCAGTTAAGTTATCAGAAGATAGTAATCCAAGTAGATCCGGAATGATTGATCCAACTAGGTTAAGTAATCTGAAAAAGCCCGATCATTACTTTGTATGCACTTGCTTGTAGTTACACAAAAGGAAGAGATATGGTAAATTAACCAACAAATCACATACTTAGGTAGATAGAAAGAGTAATAAGTCAGTCAGTGAAGCTTTGTTCATCAATTCAACGCCAAATATACAGAATAGGAATTTATTTTTCAGTACAAGTATGATTTTCAGCATGGATATCGGTAGCCCAAATTTACAGGCCGACCGTAGATATCGGGTGTGCGTCGGCAGGGATCGAACCCCGGACCATGTGCATGGTCGGCGAGAGTCCTAACCACTGTGCCACGACGCAACACTTGTCCCAGATACATGGAATATTGTATTCAATAAAACAGAGAAAGTAAAGCTGCTTCAAATAGTGAATACAATGATATGGTTATAAGTAATAAATTGCGGTGGTTCCTGATTCTAACTTGAAATCAATAAATTGGGCTCGAGACTTCATCCAGCCAGTAACATTGAATCACTATGTGTGTGTGTGTTATATCAAATACACTTGTCTAGTATTAAAATTATATCTCAATTGTGACGAATCAGTATCAGTTAGAGATTTTCGAAAACCAAGGAGCACTGAACACATGTTACATCCTAGATTGGTACTCTTTAACAATGTAATCTTATGACGTCACCAAAGATTGGATTCGAAACCTTCAGGTTAGTAGGTCAAGCTCCTTAACTATTCAACCACTTGGGCGGGATTCAGTGACTCTCGAATTCTAACTTTGTCAATTCGGATAATCCGAATATCAATCGTAAGCTCATTGATGGCTACCGGATGGATGTCCTAAAGCTGTAGTGAGGATTCGTGGCCAGTGTGGACCATCATGTCAAGGTGGAGCAGGTGCTCATCGAATCTGTTTGGTAGAGGGTATCGCTATATCATGAGTTGACAAAGTTAAAATTCACAAGTCGCTTAATTCCAGCCCAAATCGGCGAATGGTCAGTGAGCTTAGTGTCGTAACCTGGAGCTCCTGAGTTCAATCTCTGGTGAGGTCATGAGTGTATAGTGCTGAAGAGCCCTAAAATAGGAATGTTTTCGTGACGAAAATCTAGTTCTGTTGGGTTCTAGCAGAAAGTCGTGACCAGTAGGCTACAGCAGGTCGGCTGCGAGGACAAATAGTCGCCGAAAACATTGGCTAGTGGTCCCACTATGTGGTGAACTGGCAGAAGTTGGAATTCATGGGCTGGACGATGGACTGGATCCCAATGGCTTGTCACCAGACGGTCCTGGGTTCGAATCCCCATGGGTGCATACTGTGAAGAGTCTTAAACTAGGCTGGTGAAACAGCTGTCTAGTACTCTCAGGTTGTCCAATGATTCTCTAACCGATGTCAGCTTATGATGAAATCGTATAATCAATCAAATCAAATCCTTGCAAACCAATATTTGAAAATCTGACAGCTGAAATTCATTCAGTTCTGCACAAATCCTATAATCTAACACAGTGTCAAAATTCTGCTTTTACATAAGTTCCAGCAATAGTAAAAGTATTCAGGTAAATAATACTACTCATTGGTGCATTTCGTCAATATTTATTGACCTCTGTTAAATAAAAAAAGAAATACAAATTGTATTTATAGACAGTCTATACACTAAACTGGTTTTCTTACACCCCTCCCCCACCTTTTGTATAGATTGATTAATTTTGTCTATGAATCAATAATGTGCCTAGAAATCATGGTTGAAACAACAACAACAAAAAAGAATGCAACATTTATGTCATTACACTTGTGTTTACTCAATAACAAAAGAAAAACAACAGCATTGAACTTAAACGTATTAAATTTTACTCCTTCTTAGTCGTAAGTGGGAAAACAACTGTGCTTCCCAACCGTTGTTATAACTGGACCTACACTAGTACAGACTTCTTAGTGTTTCACTATTTAAAGATGGGTATTATTTCAATTAGTTGGGTATAGTTTTCGTTACGTAATAGGTGGATATATCGGCAACTACTTCAACGTATACTCATGTGTGCATGCATAGACAGGCTTGTACACGCTACCTCCAACCACCAAATCACTGCATGCACAGAATTCCGCAAAGAGTTCTCCGTTATCATTCATTCCACCGAGTGAGAGCCTCTCGACCCATGGTGAATTCTATTTCTCTTTTGTCTGCACCAAACTTAGCGTTCATACCGCTTAGTAGGATTTTCATGTCGTCATTTGGGATCTTATTCATTACTGTTTGTAGTTGTCTATAGAGATCGTCCTTCTTCTTCACTGGGTCTAAGTTTTTTTTGTGAGCGCGTAGCATTGGATAATCATGGCTTTCCTGCTTTTTGAGTTGAATCTTGCAGTTATTACTGTGCAAGAGGAGTTTAGTCTGCTGTATGTGATATCATGATGCCTTTTAACTCGATGTGCGCGTACTTGTCATTTGGGTAACCTGAGTAGATAACTGACTCTTCGATTGGCAGTTTGGAAAATCCACATCCACTCCACCTTTTCTCATTGTTACGACCAAAGCAACTCTCTATGGTCCATACTCGAAGAATCAATTTCTGCGTCTTACTTCCTCGATAGACTCACAGTCACAAAAGGTTCTAGTCAACAATATTAACATCAAAAACTCAAAATTACCTCAACATTTCTATTAGGGGGCTATACAGACAAGGTAATTTTCTAAGCACAAAACAAGTACTATAAAACAAATTAATCAGCCGAAATTCAACTTTAGGAAGTACATGTGAATGCGGTAGAATATTCCCAACAAGGTGTGGAATCAAAAACTCTGTCCACAATAATCGCACACCAACAATTCCCGAAGTCACTTCAAAGTCAGAATGACCTTCATTCACTGAAACAAAATCAAGTTCGTAAACCAACACATTATACAATATCATCACACAACCAGAAGGCGAATCATTAAAATTAGAGATTAAATGCGTATAAGACAAATAATAAGACTGAAGTCAACATATGATATGCAAATATCAGAATGATGATATGCACTCTAGGATAAACATGGGGATAATAATTACAAAGTTAGCTAAAACGTTGTTCAGGAGGGATTTTCAAAACAGTTATTCCATTGTAATATATGCATATATATATATATCGTTTTGATAAAAAAGTGACTATTATGTGTCCTGTAAATTTATTAGTTTTCTGTCATCTGATTTTGTCTACGACTGTATCGCTTTTCAGAGAAAAGTTGTCAGAGCATTTTTTGTCTTATCCCCACAAAAGAAACTGTTGGCAGACATTGTTTAAAAGAGTTCAAACACACTGTAGTACTACTCCGGTGTTGAAGAGAATGGAGGAAAAATACCTACTAACCGTCTTCAAAAAGAAATGAATATCCCCCTCACAATTTCATCAAAAAGTGTTTAAACTCGAGTCATACCACCAACAACGAACCATCATTAAAGACCAAAAGAAAATTCATCCTACAATATATCAGAAAAAATATCTCTGATATAACAGCTAGAATATTAAGACCGTTTGAAATAGATATAGCACACAAGCCAGCCGGCCAAAACAATCACTTCATTCGATATTATGCGAACCGAAAGATCTAACAGAAAAAGAAGATAGAATTCATACACCATATACAAAATAAACTGTATGAACTGCAATAAACATTACAACGTAGTTCATAGTGGGCGTCCCCTTCGAATTCGAATTCAAGAACACAAATTGGCTGTAAAAGGACATGGTATATATTCTTTCATATCAATGGATGTGGATAATTATGGACGCCAATTTTATGATTAGGATAATGTAGAAATTTTAAATCGACGAAACATCAGAAATAAAGTCAGGGAATTCCTAGAAGTCTGGTACTCAAGTGAATCAGCGATTAACAAACACATTACGATAAACCAAATTTACCAGCTAATAAAAGTAAGTCATCACATGTCAAGATAGTTCAAATTCCAAGTCAATAAAAATATGATCAATAGAGACGTAAATTAACAACCAGTCACGACAGTGGTTGCCATTCATGGAGAATTTAAATGAGTTCATTTTAAATTGAACCTGCGCTGAATATTTTGTCTAGAAGATGGACGACGACAGCTTCTCAATTAAATCAACCAGCTCAGAGAACGCAACTGATCCAGTATTTGTCGGTTCCATGGATCTATCCAAAACTTTTCGAATGTGTGGCTTTGTAGGGTTTCGACAGCGGCTTGCTGTTGCTTTATATATATATATATATATATATATATATATATATATATATGTATATATATCGTGAATTGGCAGTAGTTCGAATTCATAGAACATTGGATCAATGGGTTCCAGTAGCTGATGAATGGTCTATGGTCTTGTAACCAGAAGGTCCTGGGTTCGAACCCCGGTGGGTGCGTACTGATGAAGAGTCCCAAACTAGGCTGACGAAACAACTGTCTAATAATCTCTAGTTTCCAAATGGTTATGCAGCTGGTGATAGCTTGTGATCCAACCATCTAAAGCTGCCTATAATATCACCCAACTAATGGCATATTGCAAATTGTTGACTTGATTCTAATTATTTGACGTAAAATTGTTATAACATTTTTTTGAAATGTTATTCTTTTCCGTTAGCAGTGGAAAATAGGGCTTTAAGCTACAGCTTTGAAGTTTCAGTAGCAGTGGTGTCGATTTAACGGGGTGAAGTTGCTAGCTTCACGCCCAACCTTTCCTTTTTACCTGACTAAGTACCAGCTTATCGATGTTTAGGAATACGTCGTCTGGGATTTGAACCCTGGACCATGTGAGGCGTGGTTGGCAAGCATTCTAACGACAAACTACTGATGATATGAAATATGGTGGTTTCAATATATACATACACAGACATACTAGACAAATCGTCACTGAACTTCGTTTCTGCTAATTGTTCACAGAGTATACTGATAATCTATTATTTTTATTTCTACACCCGTGTATTTATCAATTTCAGATTACTTCAGGTGGTGTTGCAGAAACAGACGGTCGAATTCGTATCGGGGATAGAATTGTCCAAGTGAATGATATACCACTTGTCGATGTAACACATGAACAAGCTGTTCGAGTGTTAAAACAAGCAGGTGATCAAGTGAAACTTGTTATTGTCAAACAAGTTAGTCATTCCTCACGTCATCTATCATCCACAGGTGGTGAGTGTGTTATTTTTAAGTTATTCATTGATATATTACGTCATATATTATTATTAATGTGCATATTATGTGCTTATAAGTGTACATTAATTTCTACAGTTGGTAAGGCATCTAGTGATAATTACAATCACAACAACACAACTACAACAATAATGGCTTTATTCTGAAAAGTGCATTTAGATACATACAGTACAAAACTTTCAGCGCTTTTCCCAGCAAGGTATTTACTCCATGTGTAGAATCTTCAAATAATATAATAACCGATAAAATATCGTCTGAAGCAGTATCATTCCATTTCGAAGCATGTTCCAACCAATACTCCTCCACAATGCTGTTCCTGCATTTCCTTCGAAAATTCTCCAGTGATAAATAGAAACTTATTTGAAATTGTGCGTCGGTGGCACAGTGGTGGATTGCTCACCGACTACGCATATGGTCTGCGGTTCGATTCCCGGCCGACACACTCCTTTACCTCGCTGAGCCAGTAATAAGACTGGCAAAGAGGGAAGGTTTGACGTGAGGTGAATAGCAACCCTGTCCCGTAGAAATAAACTTCAAATCTCTAGCTTGAAGTCCTATGTTCCACTGGGAATTTAAAGGAATGAAAAAAAATAGATTGAGACCTATTGGGGGTAAGTAGATGATTAAAACAAAATGTGAAACGGAGTAAATACGTTAGTGCATTTAGATTAATAGAAAATGTTTGGCGGTTATACCGCATATCACCTCTTTGAATTCGCGCCACCTACTTTTTCTGGTGGGTATTATTAGCGTGCTTCAGCATAGAGTAGGTCAAATATACTATCATGATTTCCCGAAAATTCAAAAATACACGTTCAACGTTTGATGACCATATGTGGTCCTTCCCACTTTGAAACTGTTTGCCTGACCCTGTCACACATTCGCAGGTATTTTGCCTCACACTTTCATATGCTGCTTTCTCCCGACCTCCCAGCAGCGTCCCAATTAGCAGCCTCATCTCTGACAGATCTTGAACGCAACTCAACTGCGAAGAAGCCTGAAAGTCCTGCCCGAAGATCCATATGTCTCCATCAAAAACTGCAGGACATAGGCTTTCCATTCGTCGGTAGGCAGCGACACCAAATGTAACAACAGAAGACAAGGGCCAGGCAACAGATCGTTTATTAAGGAAAATCAACACATACTTATAGATTTTAATGTACATTATTGTAGATTATTGTTAGTAGAAAATACAGTCTTTTGATTGGTTGTTTCTCACAGAAAGTTAACCTTGCATCTCTTTGTGGCTGTGTCAGATCATCCATATGCTAACTGTATCCGCCTACGCAAAGCCTTTGTTCTCATTTTCTCACCACCAATATTGGGGACATAAACATTGACGTCAGTTACTGTCTACCAACTTTGGCTAGCAGACAGCTCTCACCACATTATTACTGGCTTACTGAGGTAAAGGAGTGCATCGGTGGCCGGGGATCGAATCCCAGACCACATGAGGCGTGATCGGCTGGTATTCTACCGCTGTGCTACCAACGCACTAAATGTAATGCTATTCAAATATTTTTCTCTGACGATATTATGTATGTCAGGAGAAAATTTTTCTCGCAGAATTTCACTTAAAAAGTATTTTCGAAAATTTAAGTAGCCCAGTGATTTACACAGACCGTTCACAGCTTAGTCGAACTCATGCTTTGCGAAAGTGTTATAATAATAATAATAATTTGCTTTATTCCAAAACAGTACTGATGATACAGTGTGGAATTTTCAGCATTTGGTACAATATTGCAACTAAATTTATCGAATAATATTAAAAAAACAGTTATAAAGATAATATTACAACATTGTTAATGACAGTTTTTATTTGGTATTTGTAGTAATACTGAAGTCGAAAATATACAGAAAAAAATGTTAATAATAATGTTAGTAGCTAAGATTGTCGGTTAACTGGGATAGTGTCAGCATAGATTACGAATAGGAGATAATAAATGAGCCGATTATTTTGCTAACAACATAGTAATTCATAAGTTTCACGCTTAACATTGTCTCTATCGCATAGAACACGGGCTGGTCAAATATGCTATCGTTGAGTTCCTATACTTGGTAGTACGAGCATATAATCTTTTGTGCTGACTTCTAGTTCTACCAGATGATAAACAAGGCGGGGAGAGTTGAGAATAGAGGTGGTGTTGAGGGTAAAAAATATGGATTTAGACCACTTCTCGTATGATTCCACATGTCTGTCAACTAACGTAGTGACAAACTGCCTAAGTTGCACACCATCTACCCTACCCTACTGACAACCTTTAATACCCTTCTCAAAATGACTTGGTCTTTTTTCAGCAAACCAGGAAGGAATAAGGGGGAGCAGTAAAATACACTAGGTAAGATACAGCGGTTAACGAATTTTAAAAGTAGAGGTTGAGGGATTCTAGATTGTTTTAGCTTGCTAATGTAGTAGCTTAGACGGAACATTTTCTTGGAGATCGATAAAATATGGGATGACCAAGTAAGGTCAGAGGATAGAACTATACCAAAGTATTTTGTGTTAGACTTAGTTCCTGTTGCAGTCCCCTCTATGCTACAAGCATCGTGTGTATTAATCAGTCATTGTAGATCACGTTTATATCTAAAGGAGAAGTCAATAGTCCGGCATTTTGAGGGATTTAACGTAAGACCACTTGGCTTAGACCACTGACTGATGTCTGACAAAAAGCTATTTAGTTTGACACAGTCTAGTTGAGATTTGATAGGATCATCAACGTATTTGACGAAGCTGATTTCATTAGGAAGAGGTCATTTATGTAAGAAGAAAGAAAAAATAAAACGAGAGAGGACAGCATCATACTGAGGAACACCATCTTCAGTAAGCAATGCAGAGGAAGACTGACCCTTATACACAGTATACTGCATTCTAAATGAGAAATAAAAATGCAACCAGTTAACAGCCCAGGACTCAGCTTGTGTAAGGGAAAACTTAATAAACAAAAAACATCTAGGTTCTGAGTCAAAAGCAGATTTGTAGTCGAGAAAGTTACAACATACATATTTTGCTTCTTTGTCTAAGGAGGAGACAATATTATGATGTAATACAGCGGCAGCATCTAAACTACTTCTGTTCTGTCCATAAGCAAACTGTTTGGCATCATTAAAACTTTTTAAAGAGGATGCAATGTTGAGTAAGAGTAATTTTGTTCGTTTTAAGTTAATAGTTAGGATCATATCAATTTTCTGACTTCACAAAATATCAGTCTACGGTACGTCTTTCTGACGGGTACCAGCCAGTACGCAAACTAGATCCAGGGCTTCCTGTCGACTACCTTCTACCATTTAACATATAGTGTATTGTATAGTCCATCTGCTTGCTAGGTTTATAATCTTTTTTCGTGTATTTATTAACAGAAGTTAGCAGACAGTGTTATTCAGTAGAAATCTTGCCACATTTTGAATGAAGATTTATCAACCTAAGGCTGTAACCAGACTGACACTTTACGTTTATCGAATTCGTTCAGTGAAAGAGCACAGTGTAATCGTAGAGCAGCTTTATACTTTTGAGAATTACCTATGATTTTTCAACAAAATGGTTACTAAACGAAGAATATTCTTTCCGATAGCTTCATCATCAGTTTCCACAGTTATATATACACATTATAGTGAATGAATGAATTAGTGTTATTAACAACATTAATGTTGTTTAAATAACATCGAATCAATAATAATAATACCAATGGATTACACTTCCAAAGCATCAACATAACAATACACTGAATATCAGAGAAATTAAGAAAAATAATAATGCAAATTCATGAATTTACAGTCTCCACTGAAAGCCGGCCAGGGCAGTAGAAGTGGCTGGCTGGAATTGCTTCTTCTGCGCACAGAGCATCAGTTGTTTCAGTCGAATCGCGATAGTCTCCTCTGTCTGGAATATGTGGTACCTGGTTGATTTTGGCAATTTATTCGGTACCCAATAGGTGATTGTGGAGAAGGACTCTTCAATATTAGCTTTGTGGCTAGTTTGGACCGCGTGTTATAATATCGAACTGTTGATACCTCTCACTACACCTTCATTTAACCACACTGGTAGATGTTCCCGAGTGAGCACGAAAAATCATGTTCCTAGAAAATCGGCCAATCTATTGATATTATTGATTCGATGTTATTTAAACAACATTAATGTTGTTAATAACACTCATTCACTATTATGTATATGCATATAACTATAGAAACTGATGAAGAGCAGGTTATCGAAAAGAATATTCTTTGTTGAGTAACCATTCTGTCGAAAAATTACTTATGAAATGTAGCAAGCATTCATTTGAATTCTAAGGGGGTTATCCTCGGTACATAAGAAGTATATTAAACAAGAATAATAATTATTTAATTGAATTTTAGATTTTCTCGTCGATTGATTGGACCAAAGTGCTCGGTCTCAGGTTGACATATCGGCTTCTTGTGCAGATGCTTCGACGATGTCTGACCATGTAATCAGAAGTTATAATTGGTGGATGGTGACTAACAGTGAAATCCAGTCAGGATGCGCATTTCGTCCTATTTGGAACTCGTCAGCTAATGCAGGTGAATCCAGTAACGAGTCCCAAATAGGACGAAATGCGCATCCTGACTGGATTCCACTGCTAGCCACCATCCACCAATTAGGAATAATAGTTGACTTTATTTCAAAACAGTACTTGTGATACAGTATGGAATTCTTAGCATTTGGTACAATATCGCATCTCTAATTTACTCAATGACAGCAATAAAAAAACATTACTTAGTATTGGTAACCAAAAATGATAACATCAACTTTTTTTCGGTATAACCAGGATCAATCAATTCAAAAATGTACAAGAAGTATGAAATGATAACAAAAATAATAACGATATTAATAACTAAAATTGTAACATAATTGAAACAGTGTCACCATAAATTACATATAGGTAGGTCACAGAGCGATTTATATTTTACTAATTATTTAGTGAATTATAAGTTTCATAACTGACACTATCACTATCACATACAACGCGGGCCAAGTAAAGTATCGTTGAGTTTTTGTACTTAGTTATGCGAGCATGTAACCTTTTGTAGTGACTTCTGGTCCTGACTACCTGATGAGATCCACCGGGAGGGTTATGAATAAAATGGCTGATGATAGTCAGATATTATGGATTTATACGATTTCTCTTGTATGAGTTGAGGTGTGTGTTGACTACATTAGTGGCATAGCACTTGGCCTATTGATAACCTTAAATATCCTTTACAAGATAACGTGTTCCTTTTGGAGTAGTCCAGGAAGGATTAAGCGGGAGCTGTAAAGTACAATAGGTAAGATGCAAGATTTAACAAAGCGTAAAAGTAGAGGTTAAATTATTTTTGATTCTCTTATTTTCCTAATGTAGAAGGTCAGATGAAACAAATTTTAGAAATCAACAAGAAAGGTCTGAGGGAAGAACTATTCCAAGGTATTAGTACTTGACTTGGTTTCCATTTCAGTGTCCTCTATACTACAACCATTTTGTGAACGAACTGGTCCGTGTGGATCACGTTTATGCCTGAAGGTGAAATCAACTGTCCGACATTTGGGGAGATATAATAAAGTAAAACCCCTTGGCTTAGACCATTGGCTGATGTCCGACAAAAAGCTGTTAAATTCTGAATGGTGAGATCATAAGCGTATTTAATGAATTCGATTTATTCCAAAAGAGGCAAGTTATTTAAGCAGCAAGAGGGAAGAGGCGGAGAGAGAGAACAGCACCATGAGGGACACCAGCTTCAGTAAGCAAGGCAGATTAGGATTTGTGTTAATAAGCGGTTTACTGCACTCTGTTCGAGAGATACGAATGCAACCAGTCACCCGCCCTGGACTTGGTTTATATCGAGGTAAGCTTATTTAACAGATGATATCTGAGTAAGTACAAAGTCAAAAGTGGATATGTAATCCAGGAAGGCAAATCGAACATATTTGCCTCTCTTGTCGAAACAGGAAACAGTATTATAACGTAAGACAAAAGCAGCAGTGGCAGCATCTAACGTACATCTGCCCAGTTTATAGGCATACTGTTTTAGGGTCATTAGGACTTTTCAAGGAAGGATCAGGATTGAGTGAAAGTAGTTGTTCCTTTAATTTCATGAAAGGAGAAGTAATCTCAGTAAGTCGGAGTTTAACATTCAAACCAGGACATGATTTAGGTAGGCTTTTTTGATTACAGCACAACCTTGCTGAACTTCCTCGACGGGAAATATTAGCTGACATAGGGTGGTTTAGGTTAGAAAAGAGGTTGTGGCGGTTAAACCAAAACATGGCTTTGTCAGTCAATGAAATCCACAACAGTTAGTTCAAGCCACATGGGGATGTGTAGGCTTCCTGCTTGGGGTCCTCGGTAAACACCAATGGTTGGAAACAATTGGTGATATGGCTCAAAATCGTTCTCAATGGCTAGCGTAGATTCATCCACTCATTGTGACTTATAATTTCCAATAAAACTATATTGTTCTTCGACATTAGTATTCTTTTTGCCTCTTATTTCTGTTTACTGTCTCTATTTTGCATTTGTTTTTACTTTCTTCTCTTGCTTTGTGTGCTACATGGATGGAGTGTGGCGACTAGAACTGCTGCACATTGGTGCAAAGTTCTATGTTGAAACCAGTCAGTCAGTCAGTCTTGCAGAACTATCATCATCTGGGTTATTTCTTCTCTGTGTCTCAATTTCTGTATCATATTGATAATTACAAGAAAAAATTATCCCGGATAGACTATTTTCCACTCTCCCTTACTTTGTTGGTTGTATTTTCCTCAAGCATTTAAGAAATATATACGTACAAAAGTAGATGATTTGCTCAAGGCTAAAAGTTTTTCTCCTTCTCACCCCTAACCACCCTGATAGAAAGAAAATCCCATTGAAACTGAAATAATAATAATTGACCTGAAGATATTGAATTCCCAAATATATATGCATATCTTATTCTTTCTTGGCTATTTTTTAATTAATAATCTTGTTTGAGTACAAATCTCTCAATCATCATAAAGAAAGATGGACATTGATGTTAGAATGTCAAAATAAGGAGGAAAAGAAACCCAGATGGTGAGCGAGAAGTCAGAAAGTAAATTAGATTGAATTATGGATTAACCATTTCATCGTGATATGTATATGAGAAAAGAAAGGATATAAAAACAGTAGAAAGTGAA